TTTGTTTGTATTTTTTTTTTTTTTTTTTTTTTGGTACTGGGGATGGAACTCAGGTCCTTGTGCTTGCAGGGCAAGCGGCAAAATCATTGAGCTAAATCCCCGGCCCTCATGTGTAAATCTTTAATAATGATGTCATTTAAACATGGTGACCCATTGTGCAAGAAAAAGATTCATATATCAGCTTGTTTCTTTCCAGCCTGAGTTACTTTTCTGTTTCTAAAAATGATTTTATAGGATAAAGGTTTTTTTCAGGCTTTCATTGTTGATTGAGTTGTGTTTTATCGCTAATGCCTACCTGTCTTACTTTTCCAGTATAAAGAAAACGGCGCTTTCACTGTGCTTGTCGACAGTTACGTGAAGGAGGAAGAAGGCACAGGGGTTGTGCACCAGGCTCCTTACTTCGGAGCTGTGAGTAATAATCTTGCAAACCCATCTATGAGAAGTAAATGTTAGCGTCCACTTATCCTGGACTGCAGAGTCATGTGCCTCATCAAGCTTCTAGCTCTCATTTAGACTACAGAGTCAGCCCCCCTCTGGCTCACTGGCATAAGAACTTCCATCCCTAGCTCCATGTCACCCTGAGTTGATAACCTGGAAACAGTGTGTCAAAGTATAGTCTGTTGCTGTGTATTTAATATACTAAAAAGCCAAGTTGCCTGCTGTGTCTTCATTTATCCCTTTGTGATTTACATGTAGTAAACCTCTCTTAGGGGATGTGCAGTTTTGTGTTGTTTAACAGGCACCAAGAGTCATACAGGCATCTGGACTGTCAAAACGCAGGACTGTCTTCCTGACTACTACAAGATCTGAAAGGAGCATCTGACCTCACCTCAAAACTGTACTCTAATTTTGCGTTTTTCCCAGAATACTTTTTCTGAAGATGCATTTTTTAATGAAATTTATAAATAAGAAAAGAGACTAGCATAGAGATTGAAGATACATGATTTCTAGTAAACCCATCTGCATCTTAAATCATGGCCTTGCCCCTGATGGACATTGCCTGGGCGAGTTTCTTAACCTGTCTGAACTTCATTTGCCTTCTCTAGCCGCAGTAGTGATCCCTACATGAAGATTGAATGGACTTGTATACCTCTCTGTTTAGTACAGTGCTTCATACTGTACAGAGTGAGAGTCCCTCAGTCACAGGCATTGCTCCTAGGATGCTGGAGTCACCTACAGACCCCTCTGGACTGCTTGTCAGTTGAGAGGGCTTTGATGTATGACTTTGTTCTTTGAAGCAGGGAGCTAGCTATCTTCATTTATCCTTTTGCTTTCATGCCTAGTCTCTGTAGGGACTTATATTACGGAGTCCTTTGAACATTAACAGAAGGAAATATTACAGTAAATCTTCATATTGATATAATCCAAATGTATGAATTAGCATTTGGGAATCCTGTTATTTCTCTTCTTTTCCCTGTACCTTTTTTATTTTGGCTAGAGGAAACAAATCTTCAACATCATGCCTTTCATCTTTAAATAATACCGGATGCATCTCTGAATGAAGACGTTCATTTTTTTTTTTTTTGAAATTTTATTTATTTATTTTTCTCTTTAGTTTATTGGTACATTTTAGGTATACAGTACAGTTACATTCATTATTGGGATCTTGTACCTGTACATGACAGGTCTTGGTTCTCATTTTTTCCCCTTAACCCTGCCCTCCCTTCACTCCCTCCTCCCCTCCCCATTTACAAACACTTTATTTCCATTTTTTCATTTTCTCCTATTGTTTTCCTTTTCCCTTATTACCTTTCCCCTACCCTTCCCACTTTCCCTATACCTTTAGCCCTTTTCTTCCTATTTCATATTGTCAATTATCTCATTAGGATCTTATTTACTATTACAGTTTCTCACACCAGAGAAACTATTCGGTATTGCCACATGTGTGGCTTATTTATTTCACTTAGGAGTATATCCCCAATATGTATCTATTTTCCTATGAATGAATCCTAATTTCTCATTTTTTTGTGGCTGAGTAGTATTCCATTTTATAGAAAAACCACATCTTTATCCAGTTTCCAACTGATGGGCAGATGGGCTGTTTCCAAGTTTTAGCTATTACAAACTATACCTCTATAAGCATAGGTGAGATAAGAGCTTATCAATTTTATTTATTCTTTCAAAAAACCAACTCTTCAATTCATTTATTTTTTTGTATTCTTTTCTTAGTTTCCCTTGCATTGATTTCTGCTCTAATCTTTATAATTTCCTCTCTTGTTCGAGCTTTGGGTTTTTCTTGCTCTTTTTTTTCTAGTAGTCTAAGATTCATCGTTAGGTTGTTTATTTGAGTTTGCTCTGTTTTCCTAATGTGGGCATTTAGTGCTATGAATTTTCCACGTAGAACTGCATTCATTGTGTCCCATAGATTCCTGTATGTTGTATTGGCATTTTCATTTATTTGTAAAAACTGTCTAATTTCTTCTTTAATTTCCTCTGTGATATTCAAACCTGTTCTGTGAGCTAGTATGTGATCTATCTTGGAGAATGACCCATATGCAGCCAAAAAAGAATGTATATTCTGATTTTGTGGGGTGGAACACTCTATAGACATCTATTAAGTCCATGTGTTCAAAAGCTTGGTTCAGTTCTAATATTTCATTGTTGATTTTTTTGCCTAGATAATCTGTCTGTGAAAGTGGGGTATTTAGATTCCTCACTTCAATTGTATTAGTGCTTATTTGGTTTTTCATGGGTTTTAATATTTTTTTATATAGTTGGGGGCATTAATATTTGGTGCATATATGTTTATGATTGTCATTTCTTCCTCTTGAATTGTTCCCTTTACAAGCATGTAGTGGCCTTCTTTATCTCTTTTAATCAGTTTAATCAGTTTAATTTTTAATGTAGCCACCTTGCCATTGTTATATATAAGCAATAAAGTTAGCAATTCTTTAATATCACCGAATACATGGTCTATATTGAAGTCTGATTTTAAAAATTCTCATTTGAGCAGTCCTGATAATACTGAGTTTTAAGAACTCATGATATATCATTTCATAATAATTTTAGTGCTTCTAGTATGATTACTCCACTGATGGTAGATAATAAATGATTGTATTTGAATCACAGCACCAAAATAATAGTACTATGGTAAAACCTTGCTTTGCGAGCATAATTTGGTACAGAAACATGCTTATAATCCAAGGCATTTGTACAGTATATCATAGAGAATTTCTCCATAAGAAATTATGGAAAACCAAATGATTCATTCCACAGCCCAAAAATATTCGTATAACAATGATTACAGCTGGGTGTGGTGCCACATAGCTATAATCCCAGTACTCAAGAGGCTGAGGCCAGAGGATTGCCATGAGTTTGAGACCAGCCTCGCCTACAAAGCATTTCAAGGCCAGCCTGAACTACATAGCAAGATCCTCTCTCAAAAACAAAACAAAGGCTACAATACTGTAATAAAATACAAAATATGAAGAAAAATAAACCTGATGTACTTACCCTTGAAAACCTTGGTGGCTGGTGTGAGGGAGATGAGAGAAGAGGGTCAAGGTGTACGATGACTTTCACTGTCACTAATGGAATCACTGCTATCTATTGGCTCAGTGGAACTTTTTTCTTTTCCTGCAATTTTAACAAGGATGCTTGCTTTTACCTTCTTTTGAGGATTTCATAGAATTGATGATTTCATAGAAATGCGATGTTACATTGTGTTTAAACAAATTCATTGCTCGTGTTGGTACAGCTTTGTTTAGGTGGTGGCTTCCTACAAAATTTTGTACTGTTTCCCATGGTTTACACATCTTCCTAATCATGTTTGAAGTGAGGGATTCCTCTGCCTTTTTCTCCTCCTCCTCTGCAGATAACATCTCTTCTATAACTTCTTATTGGGAGATGAACACCCACAATCCCACAGTGACATTGAGAGAGAGCAAGAGAAAGAAAGAGGGAGGCGGGAGGAGGGAGAGGAAGGAGCCATTGGCTCAGGTGTGATGATGTGATGATGTTCAGCATTCGTATTACTCACTGCAAGACTGCAATCATTTATCAGGTTAAAATGTATCAGAAATATTTGCCTGTCTTACATAACACTCACAGACTAAGTTACTTGGAATTTAAGGTTTTACTGTAATAATGAAAGGTAACATCTTCGTTTGTAGATTTTCCTTTTTTAATGAGGATAATTTTTAATAACCGTGGGTATGTGAGCTGATCTACATGCCCTGCACTGTAAAAGTTCAGTTCTTTGCTGCCTTTAACACCATATGGCAAACATTTCTGAGACCTTCCTTCCACTGCACCTGTCCTCACCAGGCAGCACAGTATATGGTCTCTCCCTGGAATGGGTGTCCTTGTGGGTCATCTTGTTGAACATCACCTGTTCTGCCTGCCTTTGGGGGCTGCGCCTAGCTTATCACCCTGAGGCTGTTTGCTTCACACTCAGCGCTTCTACTTAGCTGTGCATTGGGTCCTTTCCTGTTCTGTTCACATCTCCCACCCCCCAGGTAACTCAGCATAGCAGCTGGTGAATACAACTCCAGAAGGAAGCATGTCAGCTGTCCAACCTCTCATAGTCTTAAATTTCAGAGTTAGGCAGCAGAGCAAGTAGTGTGGACCACAGATTCTGAACCAGGCTTTGAATCCTAGCTTTACTGCTTCCCGGCCTCGTTCTTTGTGTCTCAGCTCTGTCACCTGCAAAATGGTTTGTACAAGTGGGATACCTACCCTGGGAGACCATGAAACACCTCTCTGCCTTCCACGCAGCAGCATTGTGAGGGCTAACTGGGCTAATGTTGTAGAGCCCAGAACACTGGCAGACATGGAGCCCTAACTTTAGACACTTTTCTCATGTGTTCTTGAAGCGTTGTGTTGTGACCTAGCGAAGCTGTGCCACCTAAGACCTGGTTTATTTATGAGGTGAATGCTTTGAAGTTAGATCAGTGTTATCATCCTGCCGGCTGTGCTTTCACAGGACACCAACTCATGAACATCATATATCTTCTGGTACTAAATAGGTTGTGCCTGATGCCCATGTGGGCTTGTGCTTTCAGGTGTGCATACATGTATACTGCTGTGATAAATCAAATTTAATTTCGTTTCAGTTTTAGTTAAAGCATTCATTTTGTCTCACTTCTCTTCTCACTTAGTATATGTAGGGGTCTGTGAAATAGTGGTTGGGAATACTGGGCTAGACAATATGATTCTAATTGCCTGAATGTTGGTTGAGTGACTTCCAGTTGAGCTGAAGATAGATAGATAGATAGATAGATGATAGATAGATAGATAGATAGATGAATGGATGATAGATGGAGTATTTTATCTCTATATAGATAAGAATATTAAAACATTGTCTTATAAACTGTTACTTTGTGCTTTCCTCCTTTTGCACACTCAGACTATTTTGTTTGTTTTTTTTCTCTCCCCATTTGCTTTGTCTTTTCCCAGGATGACTTCCGTGTCTGTATGGACTTCAATATTATTCAGAAAGACTCGCTCCCTATTTGTCCTGTGGATGCTTCAGGCTGTTTCACAGCAGAAGTGACACATTTTGCAGGACAGTATGTGAAGGTCTGTGGTCTTTATGACTTAGAAGGATGTTACTCTCATCATACTTATAAAAATCAGAGAAAGGTTGATACCGTCAGCTATCCTCGGAGGACTTAGTGTTTTTTTCAGTGGTGATGAGCCAAATGTATGCATGTTGTTTCCTTTTTTTTTTTTTTTTTTTTTTTTGGTACTGGAGATCGAACTCTGTACCTTGTGTTTGTGAGGCAGGCAGTGGAACCACTGAGCTAAATCCCCAGCCCTGTTTTTCTTTTAAGACAAAAGGTGTTAGTATATGAGTTTTTTTCTAAACTAAAGGTTCAGTATTCAGGCTTATTTTCAGTATTGGCATTTTGTGAAAAGTAAGCGGGTTTTGGGTTGCACTTTGGACTCTTGTCTCTAGAAGGTTCACCATCACTGCTCTAGAGGAAGCATAATGTAGTTTCAGGGGTAGGAATTAGGAAAATTGAACTATGATTTGTGTCTCATGAAGCAGCTTAGTAATCATTTCTGATTGAAAGTTTTACTACTTTAAATTGTATGCTATATACTTAAGAAGTGCAGTCCCATAGCCCAGCTACTAGGGAGGATGGCAAGTTTGAGTCAGCTTAGGGACAGTAAGTTTTAAGTACCTAAAAGTGCTTAAGTACAGTAAGTCCCTGACTTAGGAACAAGGTCCATTCCTGGAGGAATCTTTGTAACTTAGATTTATAAGCCAAGAAAGTGAGTCTTATACAGTACCTGTGAAAGTTTGCAACTTGACTGTTCATATGTCAGTGACTTACTGTAGCTAAAAATGGACAGAGTATATTTTGGCGGGGGGTACCGGGGATCGAACTCGGGACCTTGCACTTGCTAGGCAGGCAGTGGAACCACTGAGCTAAATCCCCAGCCCAGACAGAGTAATTTTTTAATGATGTGCTATTTGTACTTTTTTTTTTATAACATGTCAGATTTTAGTAATATATTGTTACTAAGCAGAATAGAATATAGCTATCATACTGGGAATTGAACCCAGGGTCACTGCACTGAGCTGTATCCCCAACACTTTTTATTTTCTATTTTGAGACAGGGTCTTGCTAAGTTTCCCAGGTGGGAAATGAACTTGTGCTCCTCCAGTCTTGGGGCTGGGGTCACAAGTATAGACTACTGCACTCAGCTTTGATGTTTTAATGGCCAAATGTTTAATTTTTCAACAGGAAGGTGACAAAAATATCATCAGGACCTTGAAAGAACAGGGCCGACTTCTTGTGGCCAGCACCTTCACTCATAGCTACCCTTTCTGCTGGAGGTGAGAGGAGATGAAGACTGTGTTGTAGCTGGAGCTTCAGATTTGTGTGTGCCCATGCCTTTATATCTGGGGGTCCATTTCATGGGTGTCCTGAAGAGTTAGCTTCCTACTCACATTCATGGCTGAGACACAATAGTGACACCCACAATTTAAAGAAAGACAGGTTTATTTGGGCTCACAATTACAGTGCATGGTTGGCTATCTCCAAGATAGAAACAGCGAGGTGGAAAGGCCAGGCAGAGGAAAGCTACTGAAGTCATAGTGGCCAGGAAATAGAGTAAAGCAAAGAGCTGATCAAAGACATCTGTCTTTCCCCATTGTGCCCCCAGTGACCCATCTCTTCCTTTCAGGGCTTAGCACCTAACAGTGGACTAAGCCACTGATGAGTGCAGCACTTCTATGATCCGATCACCTTCCCAAAGCCCTGCCTGTGAGCACATGAGGTTGTGGGGAGACACTGTCGATCTAAACCATAACCGTTTGGAAGCAGCACAGAAGACTAAACATGAGGACTGAATTTGAGGCCTCTGAACATCACATTTTCATCCACGTCTTTTTCTCACACAACCCTGAGGAAACAGACAACTTTATGCATTTATAAAATTCCTAAAAATGAATTGAGAAATTTCCAAACACTTACGATATCCATGATACGGACACCACAATATCATACCTTGGACAACTGTCATCAGCAGAGTTGTGTTTTTCTTTCTAGTCCTGTTTTTCCATTGGCTTTTTGCCTTTCTGGCTATCTTTGAGAGAGAGGACCAATCTTGAAGACTTAGATATTTGTAGCTATAATAGAAATAAGTACTAGCAGAAGGCCCAGTACGTGGTAGTGATTCAGTCTTGCCATGGTGCCTGGGAGTCTCCATCTGACCATCTGCACCTGTGATTCTGCCGCCCCAGGTCAGACACACCCCTCATTTACAAAGCGGTGCCCAGCTGGTTCGTGCGCGTGGAGCACATGGTGGACAAGTTACTGAGGAACAACGGCCTCTGCTACTGGTGAGTGGGGAGATGTGTTTCTTCATACTGTCCTCACAGGTAGTATGGTCTGTGCTCCCCCAAATTATAATTTTTGTAGCTAACTTTCATTATAATAGATGTCTGTTCCATATGTTAACAACACAAAATAATTTGCTATTAAACAAGCAGTAACGTCCTTAGGATAAAGCACGTAAGGGAGCATTTTTCTTTTTAAACAATCAGCAGAAATGGGCATCTGCCAGTTACGTGATTTTTCAGGACAGAATGACTTTAGAACAAATCTGGCTGTAAAATACTCTGAGACTCTTAGCCTTAATAATAGGTTTCACTAAAAACATTTGAGGATATATCTACAAAAGCCACTTACACTTACACACTTTTATAAGTCGTTTTGGTGCTTGCTGGGTACCTGAAATAGATGAAGTCACCCACCCTTGGCTTTAGGGTTAAGTCCCAAACACAGAAGCCTCCGCTTTTCCTGGCTAATGTCTGACTTGCAGATGATAGTGCAAAATGAAACAGGCTTGACTATGCAGTTCAGAATGTCTTTCATTCAGAATTTAGATTTCATTTCTTATCCCAAAGACTCAACTAAACCTACAAACTGCTTTTGAGGTTGAGCGTGGTGGCCCATGTCTGTTGTCTCAGCTCTCTGGAGACTGAGGGTGGGCAGTGCAGGCTCAGCCGAGGCAACTTAGTGAGAACCTGCTTCAAAATTTAAAAAAAATTTTTTTTTGTACTAGGGATCAAACTCAGGACCTTGCGCTTTCAAGGAAGGTGGCAGAAGCACTGAGCTAAATAAATTGCACTGAGCCCAAATTTAAAAACATTTTTTGAAAGGCCAGAGGATGTACAAAGGCTGGGTACAAGGTTCAGTCCCTAGCACTAATAAAAAACAATAGAAAAAAGAAACTGCAATTGATTTGGGGAGTTATGAGGTACATTTTAGGGCAGTAAAGAAATGGTCACGAAATGCAACTTTCTAATATGTACTAGCAAAATGACTGGCTTCTCAAAAGAGAGCTTTTTTGTTTTTCAAGCAAGCGGCTCAGTAGTTCCCCGAACATGTAAGGTAGTAGGTTATTAGTAAGATTGCCTTTAGGGGGTACATACATATAAACTGACCTTCATAGCACAAATGGTAATGGCAGTGTCCAAGAGGGGAACAGACTATTTTGGAGCTCAGGGATTCCCTAACAGCCGTGTGCTTGAGATGGATTCCTGCAGAGATGAACCTCAAGGAATAAGGAGCCATTTTCCCATCAGAAGCAAAAGTGCTAGGAGTGGGAAGAAGGGCACAGCAAAGACAGGTGAGCTGTGTGCTGGGGAACTTGCCTTGCAGCAGTACAAGGTCAGGGAGGACCAGAGAGAAGACTGGAGCATTGCCATGGCAGCTACCAACTTCCCAGCCTATTGGGAGCCCATGCTAATGGGTTTCAGCAAAGCCTTTATTTATCCCATGGGTGACATGAAGACTTGAGTGGATCAAGGCTGATTATAGTCAGGGTGGCTGCCCTTCAGTGCACCCCACTGGCTGGAAGGATATGAGAAGTGTCTGCCCTGTGTGTCGGTGGTGGCAGTGTAGACCGTTGTGTGTGCTGTTGCCTTCCACCCAGAAGTCGTGCCCCTGGCAGTGAACTCGGCATTTCCAGACCTTTTGGTCCTCAAAGCATCACACACAGGCTCGTGTAGATAAAACGACAGTACTGACATGATTGGTTGTATAATGCATTTCTGACAGGGTACCAGAGTTTGTGCGAGAAAAGCGGTTTGGAAACTGGCTGAAAGATGCACGTGACTGGGCAATTTCCAGGAACAGATACTGGGGCACCCCTATCCCGCTGTGGGTCAGTGACGACTTTGAGGAGGTGAGGTGCAGGGTGTGCGTCCTTGGGTTGACTTTTGTTGAAACACTGTTCTTGCAGTGGGAATATGACGTTAAAGAATTGTTTTCTTTTTTTTGTTTGCCTCTTTGTCAGTGTTTTCTTTATTCCTTGTTAGAATTACGACAAAATAAAATATTTTGAGAGTTTAAAATTTTACCTATTGGGCCAGGGATTTAGCTCAGCGTTTCGGTGGCCTGCCTTGCAAGCGCAAGGACCTGAGTTCAATCCCCGGAAAAAAAAAATTTTTTTTTTAACCTATTTTTATGAAATGTAGTTTTGAAGTTTTTTCTTCTGTATAAAGTGAAGGATGTATTTTATATTTTTCTCAGGAAATCCACATACAAAAAAATTGTTTTTCTGATGTTGCTGTGATCCACTGCACCCACCCATAGCATCAAAGCCTACACTGATCGAAAAATGAAAAATTGGAAACAAATTTGTCATTGTATTTCAGGCCTTTAATTTCTCAAACCAACCCTATGGGTGGGTGGGTGGGTGGAAGCAAGGAGAGATTTCCTTGGCAGGACCCGCTCTCGTGCAGAGGGAAGTAGAGCAGTGATGAGCCGCAGGGCCCCATTGATCGGTAAACTTCCTGTATGACATGAGAGACATCAGGGAAACATTTGAATCCGAAGATTTTGTAGGACTGAATGGGAAGGGCAGGGAAAGAAGCTGGGTACTCTCTAGGTAACAAACAGCCACAGTGATTCTCTGTGTTCTGGATGCACCAGTCAGTTCCATCTCTTAGCTCCTTACCCTAGAGATAGCCCTAACATCGTGTGATTCGGGCTGATTATTTTGATCTTGTCAGAGCACAGTAGTTACATTCCAGGTTTGTCTTGGGAAGATTCCAGATTAACGAGCCAGGTTCAGATAGCAGAAAGAAATCGAGGTGCGTTAGTGCAATAATGTAAGGTGTTTACTTAATGGTGATCATTTTTGTCAGAGATTTGCACATAGTAAATCATCCAGAAGTACCATTTCAGAAGACGACTATGAATGTTTGAAATCCTCTTCATGTGAGGGCCCTCTGTTATAAGGGTGGTTTGCAAAGTAGTAAAGTCTTGGCATTTTCTTTTTAGAGACCAAGAGAGATAAGGCACATTGGTAATTGTCCTTTAGCCCAGATTGGTGTATAAGGAGCTTTGAAAGAATATCAAGCCAGGCCTGGTGGCACCTGTAATCTCAGCACTCAGGAGCATAAGGCAGGAGGATCACTGCAAGTTTGAGGCCAGCCTGGGCTACATAGTGAGTTCAAGTCCAGCCTGGATTATAGAGTGAGACCCTGTCTTACAAAAACAAAACAGAAACAAAACAAAAAAAGTCAAGAGAGGAGAAAGGGGAATAAAAAGAATTAAGATGTGTTACATATGTGAACCAACTCCTAGTGATGAACGTAATCATCTTATACTGCAAAATATGTACTAAGAAAAGTACGCAAAACAGGATCAACAGTTTCTAAAACTAAACATGAATACCATATAAATTAACTCAGTGTGACTTCTTTGGCTCTAATATCTGCTTTTAAATTTGTTTTTGACAGGTAGTTTGCATTGGCTCAGTGGCGGAACTTGAGGAACTCTCAGGAGCAAAGATCTCAGATCTCCACAGAGAAAGGTCAGTTTCTGAGTGTTTGATTCACTTCAGTCCTAAAATCCTTCTTTTAAGACATAGTCTCTTGCAAATTATAGAGCTGCATGTGGAAAGCACTAGATTGTGAATTACTTTGGTTTTTCTTTTAGGTATTTAAAAAAAAATTTTTTTTTAGCACATTTGCAATACATAACGATTGCATTCACTGTAGGGCATTGTACATATATGTGATACATTGCAATTCTTTCTCTCACCCTCCCGCCATGCCCTTTTTATTTTTCCTGCATCACATTCATTTATCTTATAAGACCTTATAAAGTTAGTTATCGTATATACACATTGAAAACCAGACTAATAAGACAAAGGACATATAAAACATGTAAGAAAATTGTAATAAGTTAAGATACATTATCTTTGCTTGATTGTGTACCCTTTTTTCCCTCCCTTTTTTCTTATCTTTTATTCATATACATTCCTGTTTGTGTGTGTGTGTGTGTGTGTGTACATGTATATATAAGAGAAACTGATATTTAAGTGTGTGTGTTTGAGTTACTTCACATTATGACCCAAACATGCATCCATTTTCTTATAAATAACTCAAGTTTATCCTTTATTGCAGAATAGTACTCTATTCCCTATAAATACTTTATTTTCTCTACCTGTTCATCTGTTGATGGGCATACATGCTGATTCCAAGACTTAGCTATTATGAATTATGCGGCTATAGACATAGGTATGCATATATCACTGTAGTATGTTGTCTTCAACTTTTGGGAAGGTACCTAGAAGGGGACTAGCTGGGTCAAATGGAATCTCCATATTGATTTCCATAGTGGTTATATCAGTTTGTAGTCCCACCAACAATTGAAAAGGGTTCCTTTTTCCCCACAGCCTCTCCAGCATTTGTTATTGGGTGATTTCTAGATGGTAGCCACTCTTAATGGGATGAGATGGAATCTCAGGGTTGTTTTAATCAGTTGTTTTCCTTGATGGCCAGCCATGTTGAACATTTTTCTTATATTTATTGCTTATTGGTATTTCTTCATCTGAGAAGTATCTTACTCATTTCAGATACCATTTTTTAAAATGGGCCTTTAAGTTGGAGGGGTCTAATTTTTTATATGCTCTACCTGTTAATCCTTTGAGGAATAGCTGGCAAAAATGTTTTCCCGTTCTGTAGGTTGTCTCTTCACTTTGTTGATGGTTTCCTTTTCTGTGCAGTGAATTACTTTGTTGATTCATGTTGGGTTGAGGTAATGTGTCCTTCCTCCTTCAATGAAATATCACGTGACTTTGCTGTGTGACCTTTCAGCTTGAAGACTCCTGTCACTCTGAAAGCCTTTGAGAGCTGCTACTATTTCTTTTCTTTTTTTTTTTTTTTTTTTTTTTTTTTTT